GTCCATACCCGCTGTCACCTGAAAAATTTCCGGGAAACAGTTTAATTAAGCTCTTAGTACTTTAGTTGTACGATTCTGAGATTTAAGATCAAAGGAGGCTCATTCTACATCAGTTAAGATGAGCACATAAAATGGACCCCATGTGTGAAAGAGCACAAACCATGGATTCAGTACATTTAATTTGTATCTTACCCTTTCTTCTGGCTGCTGTGGATCTTGGTTCCCTGGACTCCTCATTGTGAATGATGGCAGTGTCCTCTACCATGCGATGAAAGCTTTTCTTACCATTATTCTGTTAATATACTGAGTCCAGAGGTCAAATGAGTGTCCTAATTGGACTGACTAAGAATAAAACATAGCAATCAAAAAATGTTACATATGCAGCTTGCTTCTTACCACTTTGGCCAATGTTGGCCTGTTGGTTTAGTGGATACCCTGTATCCTGGCAATGATCTCCTCTTCCTTGTGTGGTCCTCCTCTTCCTTGTGTGGTCCTCTTCTTCCTTGTGTGGTCCTCTTCTTCCTTGAGTGGTCCTCTCCTCTTCATATGGTCCTCTTCTTTTCTGTGTAGTCTTCTTCTTCTCTGTGTGGTCCTCTTCTTTATGTTGTCCTCTTCTTCACTGCATGCTCCTTCATGTTCATATGCAGCTTGTTTCTTACCACTTTGGTCAATGTTGGCTTGTCAACATAGTGGATACCCTGTATTTTGGTAATGGCCTCCTCATCATTGTGTGGTCGTCAACAATTTGGCATCTATCTATACCTGCTGTCATCTAAAAGTTTAGTTAAAGTTTATTTTAGCTTGGTTAGATACTGAGATTCAAGACCAAAGAGAGCTCAGTTTACAACAATTAAGATTAGCAGAAGAAATGAAATCAGTGATATGTACTTTACCCTTTATTCAGTGGTTGGCTTCAGTTGATTCCAACTCCCTGGACTCTTCTTCACAAGTAGTGTTGTCTTTTTTGTATCGGGATTGAGACTAACTATAATTCTGTTAACATACAGAGTCAAGAGTTAAACTAGTACTAGTACCAGTCTTAAATAAAGTGAAAATATAAAATCAAAATCTAAATTGCAAAAAACGCTGCCCGTTTCTTACCACTTTGGCCAAAGTTGGCCTGTTGACATAGTGGATACCCTGTATCCTGGCAGTGGACTCCTCTTCCTTGTGTGGTATCTGCTGCCATCTGTCCATCCCTCCCTGTGCCCTTAATAATGGTAAAAACTGACACAGGATTAATACAGTTCCAAAACAATTGAAAAAGTACCTTTTAATGCACCATTCTTAAACAAAAACATGTGAAAATTACATATTTAGGAAAGACACAAACATTTATAAATGAAAAAAGCAAAAAGGTTTATGTTAGTAATGTAAGTAAGAAAGGGAAGGGGGAGGGGCAGGAAACAAAAAATACATGCAAAAGAAAAAAATACAGCTCACCTCGTCTCTGGGTTATAAGATCAAAATACAACCTTTTCTTGGGCTCATTGCATACCACTGGCTCCATTCTGTCTAAATTACATTTGTAAAATGTTTAAATAAACAAATAAATCTAACTTCTAAAATAAAATGTTTCATTGTAATTTATATGTTAAACACAGAACAAATGAAATTTATTTTTTGTTTATTCTAACCTAATTAACTAACACATACATTAACTTATACACTTTATATGTAAAGAATTACTGTTAACCAACTTTTATTCGCATGCAAGAAATATTCGCAAGTTTTGCAACCTTTAACTCGCAAATATTAATTGCCGCAAACCATTTGATTTGGTTTGTATTTGTAGAGAATGTTCCCTCAGTCGGAAAAATTAATTGTTGTGGATTGATTTCAAACCGACGAGTCGCGAATAAAAGTTGACGCGAATAATAGCTGGTTTACAGTACATCATCATAGACTGTTCTTTGGCAGTTGAAATAGGAATATTTCGTCTCAAAATTGGGAAAAATTAACTTTTTGGCATTGGGAATGGTACAATTTATCAATACCAGTTCTTAGCAATTCTTGAAAAAACTTAACAAGATAAATATTAATGAAATTTTTAAATGGATTAATGCTAAATCAGATATGTTTATTATCACTATTATTGATGAATGCATGTATTGTTGAATAGTAAACATCATGGGGACTTTGAGGTTTGAATGTTACATGATGTTTAACCCAATAAATTTTCAACAACCTTCTCAGAAAAAAAGCAGTTTACTTGTCATTGATTGACCCTCCTTGAAATGATATTATTAAGGACACATTTGCAATGTAGTTTTGGACTTTATTTTCTTATTTCCTGTGTTGTTAAAGAGTTGCAATAATTGAAAGACCTTTGTAACATTTTATGATGCCTGGAAATTTTGAACAACTCATCTGAATCAAATTTTTTAGGAAATATACTAGTTAAAAGTATAATTTTGTTTTTTTTTAATTAAAAAAATAAAAAAAACAGGATTTTCATCACTGATATCTGTTCAAAACTCCTGTTAATGTATGGTGATTTTTTTGTCTAGGAACATCTAATGATACCATGATTTTAAATTGAAAATGTCTTGGAAAATTATCAGTGGGAAAGGTACATTGAAAGTACATGTACTTTTTGTATGACCTTAAATTGAATATATATGGGTATCGGATTGCTTTTCACATATATATTTTAAAAAAGATTTTTTTACACTTAATTACCAAGTAAAATGTCTCTATGTCTGAGTAACCAAATAGCAGTTTTACTAAATGATACTTATACATCGATGTTTGACACTGGTTAACTAAGTACACAGTGACAACACTAGTACTAAGACTTAGTCAAATGGCAAAGAAAAACAAACTTTCAGAGAGTCAAAAAAGAAGAGTTTGCATCTTACCTTCACTTCTAGGTAAAAGTAAAGTCTGTCCTTGATCTTGGTTCTCTGGTTTACGCATAACTGACATCTCTAAAACATGGGAACCAGGCAAACCTAACCTTTTTCCTGTCAACACAAGATATGGAGTGGTCAACAAAACAGAAAGTTAAAATTATCACACTTCATCTAATGAAAGTTCTGAAATCTCTCAAAGTGAGTGGAGTAGAGCATGTACCTTATCCTCCTCTACAGTGCAGGGAACTAATTTTGTTACATGAACCAGCATCAGCATAAGCATTAGTAGCATCAGGATCGAGCTAGCATCAGCATCAGCATTTAAAAAACAGCATTACCAGGATCAGCATCAGCAAGCAAAGGATAAAACCAGCATTGACCTACATAAAATCAGCATTATCCTACTAGCATCAGAAAATCAATGAGTTTTAATTCAGTAAAAAATTAAAAAAGAAAGAAAGAATATGTGTTTAAGTATTCACATTATTGATACATAGTGAGATATTATGATCAAATAATTGTAAAAGGCACTTTTATTGCTTTAAACGGCAATGCTGAAATTCATCATCTACTTCCGGTAGCATGATGCTACTTCCGGTAGCATTGACCTAATTATAAAACAGCATCAGGATAAGGATTACTAGCATTAAATCAGCAAGCAAAGGAAGCATTCAAATCAGCAAGCAAAGGAAGCATTCAAATCAGCATTGATGCTGTAACAAAATTAGTTTCCTGCACTGTATAAGGAAGCTTGCAGTCAATCAATACTCGTAACTCTTCTATAACATGAGGATCTACTCTTGAACATACATTGTAGGATCTAGGGTTGCCTGTTAACAATGTAATTAATAAATGTTATTTTAATCAAGTAATGAGAAAGAGTGATGCAACTGAAATACTAAAAGAAGTGCAGCTTTTGCCTTACCTGTAGGATTAGCATCAGTCAATTTCAGCTCTACGTACTCTTGCTGGCAAGTGATGCACTCTGCTTAGTCTTAGGATGGGTATTGTCTCTGAATGCTTCTGCAAAATACAAATTTAAGATCAAGAGAGGTTCATATTTACATCAAGTATGAAAGCACACAATAAATGGAGTCTGTACAAGGAGAAAGAGTAGGTCTTTGTATCTTACCCTTTCTTCTATGGTTGGCTGCAGTTGATCTTTGCTTCCTTGACTCATTGTGACAATTAATTGAGTCTTTTTTGTAGGATCAAGGCTTGTCAAGTCAATAATCTGTTAACATAGAAATTCAAGGGGTCAAAAGAGTCCCTTTTCTGAATCAACAGAAATCCAAAATGCAATAAATATAGCTGGTTTTTTACCACTTTGGCCAATGTTGGCCTGCTGACATTGTGGATACCCTGTATCCTGGCAATGGTCTCCTCCTCAGTGTGTTGGTGGTTGCCATCTGTCCATCCCTTCTCTGTACCCCTAGCAATGAAAGAAACTGACAAAAGATTAGAACAGTTCTAAAGCAATGAAAGAGAAAGGACAAAAGATTATACCTATTTAAGGCTGCTTGGCAAAGGTTCCACATTCTGCTGCTTCAGAAAGGCATTCTGTCAATTGAAATTCAAGATGTTAAAGTGGGACTCAGTCTAGATAATTTTGAAAACGATGTAAAAATTAGAGGTACTGTGAACGTGGAGCTCATAAAATGGTACAACCCCTCTTATATGTGTACTGTGGCAAATTCCATGTTTTGCTATGGAAATCCCTTATTAATTACACAACCAAAACGTAAAATAGTCTTTAAAATAATCTATAAAATAAAGATTCTTTGGAAGTCTCAAATTTTATTCAGTGGTTATAGATGGAGTTATGAATAAGAGATGGGTACTCCAAATATTAAAGAAAGAAAAGCAGTGTCTACAATTACACAAGGGAAACCCAATTATGTGTCAAATCAAAGGCATAAGTGCACTTTGTAATAAAAGACTATCTAAAAGTCTCATTGAATTTTATTCAGTGGTTATTGGAGAAGTTGCAAATAAGAGATAGCTTCCTCAAAATGTAATGGATAGACAAAAGGAAGGACAGGCAACCCTGCAATTCAGATAACCCTCACTTTTCAAGCCGGGGGTAGGGGTCGGGTCGGGGGTATAATAAGGAATTTGTGTTAGAAGAAAACAGAGAACATTACCTCATCTTTCAAGGTAGGCCTCAGTTTATGGGGTGACTCTTCCTCACTGCAGGGTCAAGGCAATCCAACCTCTCCCCCTGCTAAGGCAGAACAATAAATGCTTATATTACTGCAACTATTTCTTATGAACACAATGTAAAAGAAATTAAGGAAGAGATAAACAAGACGTAAACTATGTATATTACCCTAGCATGGTTGGTTGTTGCAGTGGATCCTTCTGGTCTGGACTCTCTTTCTGTACTGGCCAATTTAAAACTGATGATGGAGGATAATCTAATACTCTAAAAAAAATAAATGAAGGTCAATAAAAGAAAGAAAGATTTCAGCAAATGAAAAAAAAGATATAAAATCCACACATAAACAGGTTGTTTTTCAAACACAGATGCCCAGTCCATGATAAATTATTTAAATGTTGGTACCCCCTAAAAGACCTTAACAAGGAGTGCACATAAAAAAGAAAGCCCTTGCACCAGCTGTTCAGTTGTTATGGCTAATATTTAAGCTTTTCAAAAGAAAATCAAATCCAAGGTCATGATATCTATAATAATTTAAAGGTCAAAATCATGAGGTAAAAATGTAGGCCAACAGAGAAAGGGATTTTGTCACAAGAAAAACAAATGTGAAATATGGAAGCTGTTGAAGCAATCATTCAGGTGTTATGGACAAGATTAAAGTTTTTCAAAAGTAAGCCACTCTTGGTCAAGAGGTCAAAAATATTGATATCCTCAGAAAGGGCTTGTCACAAGAAATATGAAATGTGAAAGCCCTAACACATACTTCTCAAAGTTAGGGTCAAGGTTAAAGTTTCTGCAGACAAACAAACAGACAGATGGACAGACAAAAAAGTGATTTGCCCTGAATCTCAGATTATGGGGACATTAACAGAGAAGATTTGTGTCTTACCCTCACTTCTAGGTTAGGCCACTGTTCATCCTTACTCCTGGCACTCTAGCTGAATCATGACAGTCTGCTCTGAAACATGGTTTCCAGTCTAACTCTCTACCTGTTCAAAAAAAATGTGAAGAGGTAAACTCCGACTTCATCAAGTGAAAAAGTTCTTGAATCTCTCAGAGTGTATGGAGTAAAGATTGTGACTTAACCCTTTTTAGATCTCTGTACTCTTGCTTACACTCATCTCAATCTTAGGATTGGCTATCACTTCTGTAGGATTAAGTGCTGCTTGTCCCTGCTTCTGTATGATTAAGTTCTGCTTGTCCCGGCTTCTGTAGGATTATGGTACTGCTTGTCCCTGCTTCTGTAAGATTAAATACTGCTTGTCCCTGCATCTGTAAGATTAAATACTGCTTGTCCATGCATCTGTAAGATTAAATACTGCTTGTCCCTGCTTCTGTAAGATTAAATACTGCTTGTCCCTGCTTCTGTAAGATTAAATACTGCTTGTCCCTGCTTCTGTAAGATTAAATACTGCTTGTCCATGCATCTGTAAGATAAAATACTGCTTGTCCCTGCTTCTGTAAGGTTGGCTACTGCTTGTCCCTGCATCTGTAAGATAAAATACTGCTTGTCCCTGCTTCTGTAAAGTTGGCTACTGCTTGTCTATGCTTCTGTAAGACTAAATACTGCTTGTCCCTGCATCTGTAAGATTAAATATTTCTTGTCCCTGCTTCTGTGAGATTAAATACTTCTTGTCCCTACTTCTGTAAGAATAAATACTGCTTGTCCATGCATCTGTAAGATTAAATACTGCCTGTCCCTGCTTCTGTAAGATTGGCTACTGCTTGCCCCTGCATCTGAAAGATTGGAACCAGATGTTGCTTGCCCCTGCATCTGAAAGATTGGAACCAGATGTTGCTTGCCCCTGCATCTGAAATATTGGCTACTGCTTGTCCCTGCATCTGTAGGATTAAATACTGATTGTCCATGCATCTGTAAGATTGGTTACTGCTTGTCCCTGCATCTGTAAGATTAAATACTGATTGTCCCTGCATCTGTAAGGTTGGCTACTGCTTGTCCCTGCATCTGTAAGATTAAATACTGCTTGTCTCTGCATTTGTAAGATTAAATACTGCTTGTCCCTGCATCTGTAGGATTAAATACTGCTTGTCCCTGCATCTGTAAGATTAATTACTGATTGTCCATGCATCTGTAAGATTAAATACTGCTTGGCCCTGCTTCTGTAAGATTGGCTACTGCTTGCCCCTGCATCTGAAAGATTGGAACCAGATGTTGCTTGCCCCTGCATCTGAAAGATTGGCTACTGCTTGTCCCTGCATCTGTAGGATTAAATACTGATTGTCCATGCATCTGTAAGATTGGTTACTGCTTGTCCCTGCATCTGTAAGATTAAATACTGATTGTCCCTGCATCTGTAAGGTTGGCTACTGCTTGTCCCTGCATCTGTAAGATTAAATACTGCTTGTCTCTGCATTTGTAAGATTAAATACTGCTTGTCCCTGCATCTGTAAGATTAATTACTGCTTGTCCCTGCATCTGTAAGGTTGGCTACTGCTTGTCTCTGCATATGTAAGATTGGCTACTGCTTGGCCCTGCTTCTGTAAGATTAAATACTGCTTGTCCCTGCATCTGTAAGATTAAATACTGCTTGTCTCTGCATTTGTAAGATTAAATACTGCTTGTCCCTGCTTCTGTAAGGTTGGCTACTGCTTGCCCCTGCATCTGAAAGATTGGCTATTGCTTGTCCATACATCTGTAAGATTAAATACTGCTTGTCCATGCATCTGTAGGATTAAATACTGCTTGTCCCCGCTTCTGTAAGGTTGGTTGCTGCTTGCCCATGCATCTGAAACATTGGCTACTGCTTGTCCCTGCATCTGTAAGATTAAATACTGCTTGTCCCTGCTTCTGTAAGATTAAATACTGCTTGTCCCTGCTTCCATAGAATTGGGTGCTGCTCGTTTCTGCATCTGTAAGATAAAATACTGCTTGTCCCTGCATCTGTAAGATAAAATACTGCTTGTCCCTGCATCTGTAAGATAAAATACTGCTTGTTCCTGCTTCTGTAGCATTAAATACTGCTTGTCCATGCATCTATAAGATTAAATACATATATATATATATATATATATACAGTCAAACCTCATAATCTCGAACTCAAAGGGACCATGAAAAAATTTCAAAACATCTTAGGATTCCAAATATCCAGGGTAAAATACTAAAAGAATAAGGTAAAGACTTATAAATCACTTAAATATATCCATGATTTTTGAGATATCAATGTTCGAGATACCAAAGTTCAACTATATATTTAACTTTTTTTTTTTTTTTTTTTTTTTTTTTTTGTATTTTTTTTTTTTTTTTTTTTTTTTGTATTTTTTTTGTATTTTTTTTTTTTTTTTTTTTTTTTTTTTTGTATTTTTTTTTTTTTGGCATACATATATACATATTTTTTAAATATTTTCTTTATGTATAAGGTGAACCCCAACACCATGATGTTGTATATACAACTAATCATCAATGAGTTGGTGCCCATCTCAAAGGGCCTCGCTCTTACTAAAGGATATCAAGACGAAAGGGCATTGCAAAGGACCTTGACATTTGACTTGCACCTTCAATCCAATGGCATTCTGGAAGATGTATGAGATTAAGCTCAAGGAAAACAAAACAATGATCATGACAATAATTTCACACAGATGTCTGCTATGACCTTGAAACCTGACCAAAACTTGGTTTAAAGCTAAAGTACACCATTAAACAAATTGGAATTCTATGGGTTACTGAGTAAATATGAGCTGAATAGAGCCAAGGCTTGTTATAAAATAACACAAACCTCGTTGGATAAAAATAATATCCAACCATAAACCCTGGGAGATTTCATTATGTAAACAGAAATGTTGTTCACCACTGATCTTTGGTTTAAGGACTCTACAAAGGAGAGAGAAATGTGCTCACTATGATAAAGATGACAAGACCTTGATTTCTGACCTAGAAGCTGTTCGTTACTTCACATCCTTTACCACTTGGCACTATATATAGGTGAAGTATAAGCCAGAAAGGGCTACAATGAGAGAAAATATGCTCCAGATAAGGATTACATGCAGATGTGGTTTTTACTTTGACCTTTTACTTAGAAAACTGGTTCAAGGTAACTGCAGTTTAAACCAGATTGAGCCAAGGGGTGAGAATGTATTCTGGATAAACAATATCAGACAGATAGACAGACAGACAGATTGATCATTGTCATGGCGGGCCCTAAATATTGAAAACAAAACCACTCACTTTACATCTACGTCTGGACAGAGATGCTGAGGTGAGGCGAGGGTTGTGGTGGATGTACAAACAGATGTGTGTGCAGATGAGACAATCAAACATTAATTAAACAATATTGAAAACAATAAACATTGGAATCACACGCTGAACAATATACAAATACTTGGAAAATACAAAAAAAAAATGCACTTATCAAAAAGGACATATACCAAAAATTGTAGAACACAGTACAATATATGCTATAATTCAAATACTGCATAGAGGATTCTTTTTTATGAAAAAAAGAAAGCACCTAAATCTTATCTTTCTCCTGATCACATCTAAAATGTAGGTTAAATGCAGCATTCAATGACTATGCAGCAGATGCAACATTGTAAGAGGCAGCATGAGAGCCAGGATACTATGCCAAAAATAGGCAATACAAGTGTAAAATGTAGATCAGATGCAGCATTCAAAGTAAGAATCAAACTCAGCATCCAAAGATATATGATAAAGAACAAGATCAGTTTGGAACTAAATCTAAATAATGAAAACAATCTGAGCCAATTAATCAAGAATGTAGGTCAGATGCAGCATCAGAGAAAGCATCTATAGGAGCATCAAGTGCAAATTTGGTTTAATTACTGCTTGTGAGAAGCTGAGGATAAGTCTAAATGATAAGTTCATTAACCCAAGTAACTAAAGCATAAAAATACAGTTCATATGCATTAGCAAAGATGTGCATCAAATGAACGGTTGATATGGTCTCAGAATGAGACAGACAGACAGACATAGTGATAATAATATTATACATCAATACATTAATACAGTAAAACTCGGTTTTAGCGAAGTTCTGGGGACCTGTGAATTTACTTCACTATATTCATAATTTGTTATATCTGTATAACAAAGTATTTAAAGTATACAAAGCGAGTTCGCGATACAGATTTTTTTCATTCAAGTATGTTTACCAAATGTATTTAACTTCCAGGAGACACAAAATCAGTTCATTATAACCGTAAATTTGCTATATCCGAGTTCGTTATATTTGTACAATTTAAGAAGAAATTGTTATGAATTTCGCCGGGAATTAAAAAAAATGCTATATCCGTAAATTCATTATATTGGATATAATGAATTTATCCGTGTTCGTACTAAATGAGTTTAACTGTACTAGTGTTGAACAATATGGAAACTTTGAAAATTTATTATCACTTATAATCAGTAGCTTTAAATTGACCAAGGATACAAATTTCATGGCTAGCGGATGCCGTGTCAGGAAATTGAAGGTTCGGTTTGTGTCCAATTTGTTTTGGGAAAAAATGAACAAAACAATGCATACAGAAATGTTCATTATGCAAAGCACACTACATTTCATTTTCTCAGCAATGGAATTCATAAAATTCCTAATGAAAGATTTGAATCGGTAAGCGTATGTCGATGGTCAACCAATTATCAGTGACAATCTTTTCATTACTTATCATAACTTAATACATTGAATACATCAACCACAAAGTATAATTAAACAAATAGTTACATCTCAATGAAGGAACCTGTAATTACAGATAAGTAAATAAATAAAGAGTGAAAAGAAATGGATCCCCACCTAAAATATAAACATTAAACTTTTACAGTAACCTTACTCCTAATGGAAAGATTTTATAAGGGAAATTTGATTATGAAATTTATTTCCTGAAATTGATATTGTTGGTACTGTTGTTTTAGACTTTATTTACAGAGAGAAGAAAAATGTCCTTTTTATTTTTACAAAAATGAACCTCTGAGCTTACTGACAAATTACAGTAAACAGTAACGGGGTGGAAAACTGAAATTACCCATGTATTTACCGATTACAAAGTACTAATAATTACTTAAATCTTAGAAAAATAAATAATAAAGTGAAATAATCTCAGTAAAGCAATAAATAATCAAAATTTTAACTGAGCTCGTGCAATCTTGGGGATAAGAAAGGGAAATTTATAAGCTATGAATTATTTATGAAGTTTAGAATACAGGAAATCCATGAGATATA